ATCACTCAGGAGGTAGAGGCAGGAGGATCAGAAGTTTAAGGTCATCCTGAGCTCCATGGGGAGTAGCTTAGATAAGCCTCTTCTAAACCTACCCTCTTGTCTTTTGTAAGCCTTGGAAAACTCCCATGTTCCACTTTTGCCTTATATGACCCTTTCCCCCTTAAAAGTCAATATTATGTTTCTATAGAAAATCTCTTGTTCTTTTTAAAAACAGCTTTATGAATTTTTTAACTTTATACTTTTTTTAATTCATCAGTTTAAGTGTACAATTGATGACTTTTTGGTAAACTTAGCAAGTTGCGCAGTCAGCATGTCTTACCTAGCTTTAGAACATCTTTATCACTTATACGATGCCTTGTGCCCTTTTCTAGTTAATTGCTACTCCCAGCCCCTAGCAACCACTAATCTACTCCCTGTCTCCAGGTTTATCTTTTCTAGACTCTGGATAGTTCCTGTAACTGAAATTGTATAATGTGTGGCCATTTACATTTGGCTTCTTTTACACAGCACAGCAGCATGTTTTTTGAGGTTCATCTGTGTTGAATTGTTATTTCTTCCTTTATGTCATTGAATCATATTCTGTTGTATGAGTGAGTGTATGTCTGCTCGCCAGTTAATGGCTATTTCAGTTGTTTCAACTTTTTTATTTTTATTTTATATGTATGAGTGTTTTGCCTGCAGATATGTGAGTATACCCATGTTGTGCAATGCCTACAGAGGCCAGAAAAGAACGTCAGGTCCCCTGGAACTGGAATTAAGGACAGTTAGCTTTTTGACAATTATGAATTATAAAACTTATATGAATATTTGCATGTAAACTTTTTTTCAAGATAGGATCTTGCTTTGTAGTGCAAGCTTGCCTCTAACTCATGAGCCTCAGCCTCCCCAGTGCTGTGCTTATAAGTGTGATAACTAGTAAAAGTATGTTTCTAGTTCTTAATTCAAAATAGCTGAGTTGCCTGTTGTGGCTCATGTCTGTAAATCCCAGCACTTGGGAAACAGAGCCAGGAGGCAATGGCAAATTTGATGCAACCTGGTACATAGTGAAATCTAGGACACCCAGGGGCTACACAGGGAGACCCTTTCTCCAAAAAGAAAAAAAAGCTGAGCTGAACTTTTTGTAATCCTAGTCCTTTGCCATCTGGAAAATGCCCTCCTAAGCTATACTGGATTTTTTTTTTTTTTTTTTTTTGTAAAGCTATTAATCAATTTTCTCTGCGTCACTGACCTTTAATAGATAGAGGCTCCCTACTTGTTAGGATAATATTTTCAACTATTGCTTTCCAAAAGAAGAAAAGGTAAGTCTTCATCCAGTTTAAGGGGCATTGATTCCACAGTGCCCTGGGTCCAGACTTGTGTTAGAGCTGAGGAAACTGAACAATAGGACAGTGTGTTGAAGATCCTGCCATCAAGGAGAAATAAATACCAAGAGAAATATTCCCATCCTGCTGCTCAACAACCAGGAGATCTTTTATTCTTTTATTCTTTCCTCTCTTACCTACTCCTCCTCTGCCCCTGACTGGATTTCACTGTCCTAATGCACCCAGGGAAGTTAGTATTAGCAGCCTAGTGACTTTGCAGGCAAAGGTTATATGCCACACCTTTCCAAGACACTGCAACTAGATGCCCTTATCAGCTCCCATTCAGCTCACTGGCCATTCTCTATAAGACTTTGAATGGGTGGCTTCAGAGGGGATTTAGATCCAGGGCCTAGAACCCTACAATTGCATGAGGTAGCGGATTTTTTAGTCAAGTGGTTTGTCATAGAGGCTTTCTTATTTTGTACCAGGTATCTTATCCCTTTTGGTTTTTCTGTTGGTTTCCTATTAATGGTATCCTTTTATGTATTTTAAAGTACATACCCTTGTTTCCTTTTCCAGAGGAAGTTCTACTAGCTAGTTCAAGCATTCTTAGAACAGACTGTGCTCCCTAGCTGGGGTCTGATCTATTTAGAACTAGTAATAGGGAGGAGACTGCAGTATTAAGTTGCTGAATGCTGCGTGTGTGTTTCATAACCCCTCATACCCTGTTGGCTCCCATCTGTGGAGTTCATAAGCCAAGATGTTCTTCATTCTATACTGAAGACATTTTGTTGTTGAATCATGTAGAACTTTACATTTCTAACTGTTAATTTTAACCTTATTGGATTTTTCAAAACTTACTTCTGGGGCAGGAGAGATGACTCAGCTGTTAAGAGCACTGGCGGCTCTTGCAGGGGACCCAGGTTCAAATCCCAGCCCCCACATGGTGCCTAACAGCCATCTGTAACTCCAGTTCCAGGGGCTCCAACACCCACTTCTGATCGCCAAGGGCATTGCACAACATGGATGCACTTACATACATGCAGGCAATATACTCATACACATAAAATAATAATAAAATATTTTTAAACTTATTTCAGCTGTGGTAAAGTACATAGACATTTGCCATTTTGATCATTTTTGAGTGTACAATTCAGTTACTTTAAGTGCATTCCCATGATTACCTTTCATCTGCAGAATTTTCTTAAATGATAACTTCCCATTTTTCCTTGCCCAGTTCCTAGCAACCTTCTGTTTCTACTTTCTATCTCTGAATTTGACTACTGGAGTGCTACAATTGGGTAGAATCACATAGTATTTGTCCTTTTGTGAGTAGCTTCAAGGTTAATCCATGTTGTAGTAAGAGTTTTCTTTTTAGGGATGAATACTATTCCATATTATATGTAGCATGCGCATAAGCTATACTTTGTCTGTTCAGCGATGTACTTGAATTTCATCTATCTATTTAAATATTTAATTCTTTTTATTTTCATTTCTGTGTGTGAATATATTGCCTTCATGTATGTAAGTGTACTTGTGTTGTGCAGTGCCCACGGAGGTCAGAAAAGTGCTCCGGATCTCTCAGAACTGGAGTTACAGATGGTTGTTGATTGCCATGTGAGTCCTGGGAACTGAACCCAGGTCCTCTGTAAGAGCAGCCAGTGCTCTTAAGTGCTGAGCTGTCTCTCCAGCTCTCATCTATCTTTTGACTACTGTGACATGAGTGTACAGATACCAGTTCAAGTCTCCTAGGACATCTTGCTGATTTTAACTCATTCATTGCATTTTGCTTTTGTTCTGTGTTTTGCTTGGATAATTATCTGCAAACCAGGTAAGACTGACCTGTGACCCTATCCAAATCCTTTCTTGATAACAATGATGGATTTCTTACTGATTTATAGTTATCATTGTATAAAATAGTCATTCTTCCAGCCCTGGCCTTTTAAAAAGACTTAAGCAAACTTGGACTGTGTAAAAGCTGTGAAGACCATGTCAGAAGTCTTTGACCAACTGTTTGGTTGAAGTGAGAAGTTTGGGGGTGGGGGGAGTTATGTTTATTTATTACCTGTTTGTGCAGGCCACTAAAACTACACAGAAACCAGTAGTAGGTATCAAAAGATAGGAGCTAGGTCTTGGAATGACTTTAGTAGGATAGGGTGCCTTTGCTCCACAGATATTTATTGAGCTTGTAAAAAACGCCAAGTGCTTTTGAGAAGCGAGATTAATTCAATCACACACTCTGCTTTCAGGATGATTTAAGTACAAAATACTGGAGGAACTTCCTGTTGCAGCTCAGAGGTCTTAAGCAAGGTTTTAGCCAGAGCTATAATATACGTGCCCTTCAGATAAAGAGGATTACAAAATCCATGAAAAAGCAACATGTTTAGATTTTAGTATAGACAGGTTTTAAGCAAAGATTTGTGGACAGACTGAGAACTCTCAAGACATAAGCTTTAAAGATGCTTAGCTTTTCCTTTACTTTGGCTAACAGAAAAGCACCAGGAAAACAAAAAGTACTCTTGCTCTTGACAGTATGAAAATTCTTATTATTTTTTGAGAATAGTAACCATGCATTTATGAAGTTCTTTGTCAGGGCAATTTAGTTAATAGCTATGTAAATGACTACTTATTTCATCGTGTGGGTGGATCGCTCCATGTACACTTTCTGAGAAAGAATGGAAGTGCTAAAAACTGTTAGCAGTGCAGATGGAAGGAAGCACAAGTGAAGGTAGGAATGCAGTACCTTTGTTACTGGGTGCTGGGCTGAGGCAGAGAAAACCTTGCTCAGAGTAGCAATCTGTTCAGTTTACCAAGTAGGGTTTCTTATGCACATTCAGCTCGCTTAGTATGTGTAGAAACCAAAGTGAATCACAATGCAAGGTTATCTTTTGTCACTGGTTTTTGCTCACAAAAGATCATCATAAACCCAGCTGGAGTGGGATGGGGGAGATGCTGGAGTTAATGCCAGAGCCATAAATCCTGAGGACACTTTAAAGGGTTATTTTTTTTCATGCAAATCAACAGTTTCAGAGGCATCTAGCAGTCAAAGCTCTGGCTCTAGCTGCCTTACGTGACCAAATAGGGCAGCTTCTGTCATTGCAGAGTACTTAAGCCAGGCTTGAGGTCAAGGAAGAGCTCATCAGTGCACCAGTAGAAGTGAGCCTGCCAGCTGGATGGTCTCCAGCTCTTCCCTTCCTTGAGTTCATCCTACCCACCTGTGCTTTAATCCTCATATTCTCTTTCTTGAAATGTCCTCAGATCCCAGTTATCACACAAATTGCATTTAAATTCTTGGTCGTGGATTGATCCCAGGCTTCCCACCAGTGTGCCCTCCTTGCCTCTTCCTCCTGCCTATCTACTTTTGACTTCTACCAGCATCAGTTTACTTTCCCTTCATCAGGGTAGCAAGGAAACTCACTGTATTCATTTCTTCCTGGGGGCTGTAGCTCATCCAGTTCCCTTCCTAGCAGCCTGCACTAGTCAGTAAGCTGAGTCCCCTGTCACCTGGCTCTATACAACTGTTGTAGGTAACTGCACCTCTACTCAGCAGATCCTTTCTATGCTGTGCCACAGCCACTGAGGACAGATGCCAGGAGCCATGTGTCTGAGCCCAGCCAGACAACCCTGTGGACACTGTGCTTTATATGATGCCTCTCTCATGCCATTGCTTTGTTTTCACATCTTTTTTTTTTCCTCCAGGTGCAGAGTGAAGACAGTGTCCTCCTGTTTGTTATTGCCTGGACAATCACAGAAATTATCCGTTATTCCTTTTACACATTCAGTCTATTAAACCATTTGCCTTACATCATCAAATGGGCCAGGTAAAGAAGTACATGCAATGAAAACTAACTTTTGAAGTTATCCTTCACCACATTTACCCTTTATTGCCTAAACATTGCCTGCAAGTTTCCAAAAGTAATATTGTATTTCACCAGCATAAGGGTCTTGACTTTGATCTATAGGAACACTGTTCTAAACTCTTTGTATTTTCCTGATATTATTTCTTTTGCAATCAGTTCTTTTAAATTATTCAGTTGAGATTTAATGTTATCTTTTTT